TGAGGGACTCTAGCACAATCGACATTGCCAGATAAAGCGAAATGCTTTTTAAAATCCCAGAGACTTGCTCCGGGTGGGATGATGAACGGAATCGGGTGCCACAGGGATGGAAGGAAGGAATAGGGACTTTGGAGAAGAGGGAGGAAATGGCGTGAAGTCAGAATGGAAAGTGCTGCAGTGAGGTGAGAGCTTTGCTTTGGGCACGGAGGTGTGGGTGCATTTTCTCAGTGAGGGAAAAACAGGCGAATTGGAGGAAAATGCTGGTCATGTGACATTGCCCTAACCTCCTCCCTTAATAAGAGAAGTAATAAGCAAAGGGTGTAAATATGGTGTTTTGGCAGGAAGCCAGTCTGAGTCTTAGCCTGGGCAGGAAGAGTGTGTTGCAGAGCTTTCCACAGATTACCGCTCACACAGCAGAGCCGCAGTTTCTGGGTCAAATCACTCCCCAGTCTTATGAAGGACACCAGTATAACTCTTATGAGGTTATAAGACCTTGATTGCGGGAGACAGGGAAACAGCCGGAATGCAGAAGTGGGCTGGATGGATGAGTCACGCTTCTTGTCAGGGGGTCCCGGGTTTTGGGGACCTCAGGTATAAGCGTGAGCTTCGCTAACCGGGTAATCAGTTAGCGGCTTTGGATCATCTCTACTTTATGTTTGGGCTTTCAAACTTTCCATTCATTGTTTTGTTTTATTTGGGACTCCAGTCCTCTGGTGGATCGTTTGTTTTAGTTTTAAATGATCGTTCCAGCATTTGCCTGTCCCGTGTTACTGGTCATTCGTAATTTTTTTGTGGCTGAAGGTCTCCGTTTTTTCCCAGAATTGATTTTGACACATGGACAGTTCAGTCCCCCCCCCCCAGTATTTCGAGGGGGTGTGTCTGTCTTCCCATCCAAGGTTGCTATCCTCATTATATCCCCAGCTTACTCCGGTCATCCTCACCTTCGCAGCTTCTAATCAGTGCGCAGACTGTCAGCCTGATGAACGGCAAAGAAAGACAGATTGGAGGGAGGAGAGCAGCAGGGGAGGAGGCATGGAGGAGAAGGAGAGATAGGTGGAGAGAAAGAGTGAGAAGGAGGTGGAAGGTGTAAAAGGGGAGTAGGGAAGTGCATACTGAGACAAACTAAGGGTTAGCCACCTTAGGCCGCTCCGCACTGCTTCAAAATGTGGCCCTGGGCAATTTATTTGATTTGATAAGTATGTACAATGGAGTCCCACTTGTTCATCAGTCCCATCCACTTGGAATACTGTGGGCTCCCGGTTCACTGTAAAGGAAACTCTAGCGATTCCTCTTGAGTCGAGAACAAACACCCCCGCGGCTCTCGCCTCCGTTTGTTCAGCGGGATTCTTTTTTTTTCTTTTTCCTTTTTTTTTTTTTCCGTAGCTCTCTCCAGGGTAAAGCTTGGCAGCTGTGACGTGAGCAGAAGGAGAGCTCAAGGTCAGCATCTGTCACCGTATACGTCTCGCGATCATTCTGGTTTCGCTCCCCGTCTCTCTGTGCTTCACACTTCGCCGCGGTTTAAACAGCGGGCGTCAGTGGAGCGACAGGTCGAACCCTTCGAACGGCCGCGTGTGTTTGTCCGTGTGGATGTGGATGCAGGAGTCGGGGAATGTGCCATTTTACCCATCATTAATACCGTCATCGCTGAGCCACTTGCCTGACACATTTACCCAGCCTGACCCACAACTTCTGCCATTTATCCAGCAGGATGTACAGCAGAGCTGCTGGGCGATTCAGGTTAAGTGCTTCGCTCAAGGACACAAAAGCAGCGCCGCTCCTGGGTGCAGGGAAGCAGAGAGACAGCTATTGTGAGCGACATCTCCAAAGTATGCCGTTAGAACATTCGGAGGAGACTCAGAAGCACCTCCATCACCCCGGCTGATGGAGCTGTGCATGAAAATGCCAAAAATATCCGTTCGGCACAGAAAAAGCACAAAGACAACAAACAGATGTGCTTCTGTGATGCGTTTTCCAGAGATCAACAAGAGCTCTGCACTGAGCCCAAGACTGGGGCTCCGGGCAAGACGCCATGTGATACTCTCCATATCAAATAATATTAAGCCATCTACCAGCCACTTACCCAGGCAGCACAGGGCACAAGATTGGGATACAGCCGGCATGGAATGGCAGTCCATTGCAGGGCACGCGCGCACACACACATACACACACACCCGCACGCACACCCGCACATACACACACAAACACACACACACGCACACCCGCACATACACACACAAACACACACACCCGCACACACACACACACACACACACACCCGCACACACACACACACAAACCCGCTCGCACAACCGCACATACACACACAAACACACACACACACACACAGACACACTCATGCACGTATGCACACAAACACACATAATCATACACTACAGGCAATTTAGAGATACCAGTTAGCCTGACTGCTTGCCTCTGAACTGTGGGGGGAAAACCCATAATAATAATAATAATAATAATAATAAACAGGTTATATTAATTATTGTCCTTTACATACACTATACGGACAAAATTCAGTTCAATTTTATTTGTATAGCACATTTTCACATGACATTGTCTCTAAGCGCTTTACATTATTCCTACCCAAAGCTCCCAGAGAGTAAGCCAGAGGCGACAGTGGCAAGGAAAAACTCCCTCAGGAAGAAACCTTGGGAGGAACCAGACTCAAAGGGGGAGCCCATCCTCCTGGGGCCGGCAGAGAAGGCAGTCAAGCAAAATCCTAATTTACACGTCCAAATTTTAATATTCGAGTCTCAATGCAGGGAGCAGGCAGGTGAGAGCAGGCGGGTACTGGTGCTGCTTCTGATGGCAGGATGAACAGTGGTACAGCAGCAGGGAAGGGAGGAGACAAAGGGCAGGCAGGCTGGAAGCATATCACAGGTAGTAGAGTGGGCATATCACAGGCAGAAGGGTGGGCAGAGTATATTGATTTTTTGGGACACCTGGCCATTACACCTACAGGAACTTTTATGGCATCCCATCCTAAATCCATAGGCATCAATATGGAGTTGGTCCCCCCTTTGCAGCTATAACAGCTGCCACTCTTCTGGGGAGGCTTTCCATAAGACTTTGGAATGTGTCTGTGGGAATTTTTGCCCATTCATCCAGAAGAGCACGTGTGAGGTCAGACACTGATGTTGGACATGAACGCTGGGCTCACAATCTCCATTCTAGTTTATCCCAAAGGTGTTTGACGGGGTTGAGGTCAAGTTCTTCCACACAAAAAGTGACAAAACTCACCCAACCAAGTCTTTATGGACTTACACTCTTCCCGAGTTGGAAGCATAGAATTGTCCAAAATGTCTTGGTATGCTGAAGCATTAAGAGTTCCCTTCGCTGGAACTAAGAGGCCCAACCCAACCCCTGAAAAACAACCTCATATCCCTCCACCAAACATTACCATTATGACATTTGGCAGACACTCTTAGCCAAGTTTTCCCAGCATCCACCAAACCTAGACTCGTCCATCAGACTGCCAGACAGAGAAGCATGAGTCATCACCCCACAGAACACGTTTCCACTGCCCCAGAGTCCAGTGGCAGTGTGCTTTACACCACTCCATCTGACACTTGGCATTGTGATTGGTGATATGAGTTGCATGTAGCTGTTTGGCTATAGAATCCCATTCCGTGAAGCTCCCGGCCCACTGTATTTGTACTGGGGTTAATGCCAAAGGAAGTTTGGAACTCTGCAGTTACTGAGTCGACAGAGCGTTGGCGACTTTTACACACTATATGCCTCAGCTCTCAGCAACTCTGCTCTGTTATATTTACGTGGTCTGCCACTCGTGTCTGAGTTTTTCTTGTTCCTAAACACAGCCGCTTTGCAATAATACCACTTACAGTTGACCGTGGAATATTTAACAGGGAAGAAATTTCATGAACTGGCTTATTGCAAAGGTGGCATCCTATGAGAGCACCACGCTCGAATTCACTGAGCTCTTCAGAATGACCCATTCTTTCAGAAATATTTGTAATCCTGACTGCATGGCTAGGGGCTTAATTTTATTCACCTGTGGCATTGGCTCTGAATGAAACACCTGCATTCAATGATTAAGAGGTTTGCCCCAGTACTTTTGTCCATATACTGTTTGTGACTCCGCAATGAAGATGTCACCCCCGTAATGTGAAGTCCGGCTGGGATGATCACACCCATCTCAAGCCATCACCCGGTTCCTCAAGTGAACACTGGAACGTGCAAACTGTCCTTCATCCCTGTGGATGAGTAGGAGTTCATTATAGAGGAATCATGTCACTAATGGAGGGGAGGCTGGTTTGAGGAATTCAATCATCAAAAATAATAAATAATCAATTCAAAATATGACATAATGGGTCATTTTTCACATTTGCAATTCAATTGTTTTATGGTAGACTGGGCTCTTATCAGAACCACAAATACAGAGGGAACGATGGGGATGATTGGCCTGTATGGAAACATCAACTGCAGCAAACAGGCACTGGGCTTGGACCAAACGGCAGAAGACAGTGCTAAACGTATTGCGTATCACATCTCGGACGTTGATCCACCTTCAAGGCTGCACAGCCCAGGAGTGTATTTTTAACTGCCTAAGAATGTGGTTCTGTTGCACCCCTCAAATGTTTAAGGCCTTTTCCCCAAGGGACAGAACCAAACACACCAGTTTCTATATGTCAGTACTGCGAAGGTGAAGAATCAACTTATGTTTCACTTAATTTATATATGTCATGAGGAAAGACCCCTCCCTCTGTCCATTTCTCTACCTCTCAGTCTTACTATCTTTCTCCCTCTCTGTCCCATTCCATTCTCATCCCACAATCCTCCTCTCCACTCTTCCCCAGCCATTCACCATTTTTAGCTCTAACTAAAAAGAAAAAAACAAGTCGACCGGGCATCATCAACGCGTGCACGTAGCAAGGATGCATTTCCATATACTTTTAGATAACAAAAATATAAAAGTATAAAAACAAATGAGAAACCGGAATCATTGAGCATGAGTCTTTGGATCCCAGGAATAGTCTTTATTCCGACAGGTGTGTGAGGTAACAGTCACCCAGCTTTTGTCTATATCCACATTCTCTTTCTTACTTTTAATCACTGAACTTAATTTTCAAAATAAGATTCCTTTGCATCAGAGGCGCAAGAGGAAATGACGTGAAATATGACTGCATAGGGATTAGCTGAGTGCAGCTCTCCGCACTTCTTTTTTGAGGAGTGTGTTCTGTTTTTGGGGACGTGTGCCGTGTCATTTTCAGCGGAAATAGAACTGTTCAATCAAAAGTAAAGTAAAATATCTCTGCATCTTTCACTCTCTGTCACCCTGTCTTGCTACTGTCCATCACTCTCTGTTCTCCAGGCTGGCCAGTGAATGCATCATCAGGGAGACACAATTCTCCCCTTGAGATGTGGATGTGGGGGTTAGGTTGGGTAGGAACGGCGTGGGACCGGCACTCTGGGGATGGCGATTACAAGCCAGCGTCATCTGCCTCATCCACGGCGATTAGTGGCCAAGCTGAGGGGCTTGGGGGGAGGAGGAGCAGGTGGCACTGCCCCCATACATTTCCATCCTAAACAGGCTGCCAGAGCAAATTACGCAGGCAACACCACAGGCAGCGGTGAGGCATGGGAGGGGGCGGGGCTCCGGGTGGGCACGCCGCAATTAAATGTCATGTGACCGCCGGAAACACCTAGGTGTAGATCCCTCCCTCGAGTCTGCTGGAGACAAATTACACCTCGTGCACCTGCGAAAAGGGCATTACTATATTAAAGGGGAAAAAATAGTGGGGAGTTAATTGTTTTGCAAACCTGAGAATGGGTCCGTGAACCCCCTGTTCATTCCCCCTCAAATGTCAGCCACGAACTTCATTTATGCACCCGTCACTTTGAGGGACTCCGGTACATAAAGTACACGGACTCCCCTGAAAATACGGTAATGTAAATCTCACACTTTTTCACTGGCTTTATTACAAAAAAATACACCCTGTCGAAAAGAACTGTATGCCCGCACACATCACCACTTTCATTTCAATGTATTTTTTCCGTTTGCTCAGCTCTCGTTCTCTGCGAGTTTTAAGTCTCAGTTGTGAAGGATGCGAAGCAGTGACTAAAACTTGCATACGCAGTCGCATCTCCAGGCAATTAATAACAACAAACAATTCAGCCCCCGCAGCACGCTCATATTAGGACTACCGACTCCGTACGTCCATTTGTTTCAAAATTTTGGCTACAAAATGAATTAAATTACAGATGCCTCCCCACCACCTGAACCCCTATCAACAAGACTTCCAATCCACGCCCACCACCACTTACATATCCAGCACCGTACTATATGCACACAGCATCCGACCTCCTCGCCGGCGCTTTCTCCGTATACTGCAGCAGCATTAAGCGCACTATAAATCACATTGCATTACAGGAGCGTCGTTCTCGCCTCTACGGCCCGCCTTCCCGAGGCCGCTCATTGGTCAGCAGCCCTCCTTAGCCCGCCCCCTCAAACCATTTGTAGAGCCCGACCTCTTCCTTGGCGCAAGGGATTGGCGGAAGAAAGTTCTCCTGAAACTGTCAATCACGGCTTTCTTACGCGTTGCTTTGGGGGTGCTTCTCCTTATGATGCATAGAGCGCAGAGCTGCTAAACGCGCTGAATACTGAAGGCAAAAGGGAGAATAAAAAAGGACAAAAACACACAACCGCACACACGCTTTTCCCACTTCTACACATAATACCAAATATTTGCTATAGTTAGCGGTTTGCATAATTTTTGTTAATTCGGAGTCTCATCTCCATGCGCCTCTGAACGTCTATCAGAGAAATTTGCATATATATTAATTCATTTTTGGGAATATTTGCTTTTTCAAAAAAAAAAAAATAACAAAAACAAAATAAACAAACGGATCGTTGTGCTATTTGCCAGTTGTTTTGTCTTAGGAGAGCCGTCCGACTGTTTTTGACGAGGTGCATGAGAAGAAAACACCGTAAAGGAATAAGCATAATTGTGGGTTTTATTTTTTTTTTTTGTCCGCTTGTACAAAATTACATTTGACAGCTATTTAAACATCACCGTTGCGTGAATTACGCAGGTGACCGAAAAGGCTGTGTATTGAACAGTCTAAAGGGGACAAAAAGGAGACTATAACTGTACTTAATACAGGAAAAAAAACGCGTCGGACGAGATTAAAAGGGCAACATGAGCGGCGCCGTCTTGCAAAACGCGATCTTGGGGCTGTTTCTTGCGGCGCTCTGCAATGGTAAGTAGTTACATCGCAGTACTTTGATTTATTACCGCTTCTTTGACCACACGTCTGCATTTTTTCCCCTGCCGTTTTCTGTGTTATACTGCTGGAGTTGAATACTAATGTCCTTCCTCCACCGTGCCGGGATTCTACCTGGCCGTGAATCATGCGTACCGCTGTCACGGCGCACTCCGTTTTGTTTTGGTTCGCGACAGAGTGTGTGTCAGTGTGTGTACAAATGTGCAAGTATTTATGAGAAAAAAAAGTGGTACGTGATGGTCTTGTCGTCATTTGCTTAAATATGAAATATATGTATTTCCCCCGTGATCCAGATTAAAGGACGCCGAAATACGCATCTGTGAGATTTAAAGCGAAAGTTCCCAGTGCGGCGGGAGTCCGGCGCGGTTCGCCCCGTATTGCGCATCCATTAATATGACATTATAAGTGAAGTCAGCACATTCCGTGGCGATCAGACCACGGGCTGCCTGCGGATCATCGTGGACACGAGCGACCAACGCCTTTTTAAACGTCCTGACACGTACGCTCTCCTCCAGCTCCACTCTTATTTATTTCCGAGGCGCCCCTGCCGGGATCGATCTTTCTACGGGGTTTTTTCTCGTTGCCTTCATTTCTGGGTTTTGAATCTGTTCAGTACTGTATCTCCAGACGCCGAGGACTCTCTGTCCTCAGGGTCAAACTTAGAGCCAATGTCATAGCTGGGAGCCCGCACTAGGTCAACAGGATCACTGCTCGCGGTTCCGGCGATTTAATGTTTGCTGGAGTATTTTTTCCTCCATCCGTGTTCCTTTATCCTCTAGTCGCTTTAGCGTTTAAATTTCCGTGCTCGGATAAAATAATTAAGCTCTAATACGTGAGAAGTAGCCGTAGGACGCGTTAATTCCCCTCATTATTAACTGCACGGAAGATAGATGTATCGTCATGAGTGGGAAGGTGCTTCACGGCGGACTAACGCGCACTGCAGACGGGAGATTATTTCCGCAGCGCTGTCGGATTGGCGTTATTTTTGTTGCTGATGGCAAAAAGGCGACGAGAATAACCGCTAAACGGCAGCAGCCGTGTAAAGGGGACGACTGCGTGTCCTGCCGTACACCCACACGCACATTTATCGCCGGGGGAGGCTCCGCTGCTCCCGGTGCCTTTGCGCAGATGTCTTTGGTGCGCAGTAATGCAACAGCGCCAGTACACATGCGTGCCTCAATTAGCGTTACACGACCGAGTGGGAAATAAGGGTATAAAAATAATAGCTCATCGCTAAATAACTGTAATTGAATTGTCGTCGAGAAAGGCCGCCAGCGAACGGAGAGCCATCTGTCCAATAGTCCGAGGTGTACGAGCCGAGCGCATCTCCACAGAATTACGCAATATCTAACGGGCACTGGTGTACGCGTCTTATATAAACACAGCTGAAAGGGAAACAGACAGCCTAGGCAATGTGGATATATTGGATCTCAGGTGTTATCTGGAGATTTTGCTTCATATTTTAATGGCGTGATGGTTTTCAAGTGTTTTCAATTCGCATGCTGTGTGTGTGAATGTTACCAGTCCACCCCAACCAGGGGACCCCCACTGTGCAGCACCAATGCAGTGCCGGGCTTGCATATCCTCTCTGATCTGGGGTGCCATGCAGTTACTAATGCACATGGCTGCCTCGTACACAAGCATGTGGACAAGACAGTGGATAACTTCAGGACAGCCCTGTGCCATAAGTTATCATAATTAAACTTAGAGTTAAGTGGGTGAGGAATACTGGCGGAGAGGTTTGGAATAACCTAGTTTTTGTTCTTGTATTTTGTGACAGGTTCTAGTTTTTCATTGTGCCTGGATATTGTACTAGTTTGCTGAGTCAACACAAGACAGGAATCGAATCTGTCTGCCATCATCTGCTGAGTGCTGGACGTGCATTCGGTGTAAAAATAACTTTTGAAAGACAGTGAATTGCTGAGTTTCCCTGATTGGGTCACTACCACTGCAGCGATTTAATGCTCACTGGAGCCAGTTTGAGGTATCAGTGTTACACCGTGTCGCAATTTCCAACCCCTATATACTTCACCGGCTGGTTATTTCACCAGACTCGTTTGCCAAGCACCGCAAGGATACCGCTCAGAGGTGCCATTAAATCTTCGACATCAAGGATCACACGTCAAGGTTCTAAAGCTCGCTTAATCCTCTTATGGATCCGACAGCTCAGACCCTCAGACCCCTGGAGCCGGGGGCTGGGCCGTCTGTGCCGATTCGCGTCAGTCCCACCCTGTAGAAATGTAACATAATTGTCTTTGGAAAAGCTTTTCATTTCTTCGCTCCGCAGCCTGTGCCGGGACAGTTAGCTACAAATTTCATTAACGACAAATATCACGGGCCTGATAAACCTTATTAGTTCCAGAGTGTCGTTCGTGATAATTGTGTCTGCCGGCTCCCCTCTTCGTAAAAGGCCGCACACCTGAGGTTAGAGGCCCGTCATCAGAGAGTAGTGGGGATTTCGGGTGGGAAAAGTGGGCGTAGGTAGTGGGGGGGGGGGAGACGACGTGTCGTGCGGGCGTCTGCGAGCTGCCCTCTCGTCCGCCGTCCCGGCGGGTCTCCGGATCTGGCAGGGGCCGGAGGGGGTGGAGATGGTGCCCGCTGCCAGGGCTGGCATTCGCCCTGCCGTTCTTAGGAGACACTTCCTCCTTTATGAAACGGGCCGATCTGGCGTTCCCCGGCTTCTCAGCGGCGCCCCCCGTCGGCCGTTCCCGCTCTCAGGTTTGCACATATCTCGGAGCCCCGACTGCGATTCCGTCCAGCCACTGCGATACGCCGGCCACTGCGATACGCCAGCCACTGCGAGGAGGGCCGACCCGAGCTGGTCTCACGCACGTAATCGGGTTGCGGGAAAATGCTTGGGCTTTGTGTCGCCGGGAAGGTTAAGTGGCGCACAGGCGGGTGGTCGGCCAGCAGCGAGGCTAGCTTTCGCTCCAACAGAAGTGACACATCTGGCTGTCTGGCTCCGTGGTCCAAAAATGGCAGGCGGGGGAGGGAATCTGGGAGCATGGACCTCAGCTGAATGGGGTCCCCCTACTGGTGGGTTTTATTTCACCTGATAGCAATTGCCTGAAAATCCCATGTTGACTCACCGTTGTAGCAAAGGCCCGAATGCCTCGTTCGGCTTAAGCCGGCCTTGTGCAGATCCCTTGAGGAGGGACCCCTTCACCCACTACAAGCAGTAGTCATCAGCCCATTAATTAGACTCTGTGCCCGCCCCCCCACGAGCAGCTAGCCGGACGCTGCACCCTCAGGTAACCCCCGCCAACCCACCCCTCCCGCCCCCCCTACCGCCTCATGGGGTCGGGGCCATGCTGTTGCTTCCACAAGGCTGTGGGTTCGAGAGGCAGGTCGAAGTGTGCAGGTGAACAGGCCTTTTCTGCCGGGAATGGTGATTAGTGCCGGTGGCTCTAGTCCACAGATCTCTGTGCTGAAAAAATGCAATTAGGGCCAACCATAAATAATCATTATATCCCAGCTTGATTGCAATTATATCTGTATTTATAATATATGGAGTTATGCGCAATGCAAATGTGTTCAATCCAAGGAAGGTGGATTTACTACCTGTGTTTAATTAATGTAAAACTTCCCTCCAGTCCTGCAATTCCCACCCCAGATTCACTGCTGCCCAGAACATGAATACTTACATGAGAATTCTTCACCGTAATAATAATGGGGAAAAAATGATATTTTATTTAGTACAGAGAAGATCATTCAAGTGACGTGCATGTAGTAGTAGATGTAGAGTGTACACACACACAGAGAGACATACAGACACACACAGAGACATACAGACACACACAGACTCACAGAGACACACAGACTCACAGAGACATACAGACACACACACACATATGTGGGCAATTTCATATCTCCTTTACTGGGGTTACCAGCAGGGTGAATTTAAATGATCCCCCCCCCAACAGCTTGCAGGAGCAGCAAATCAATGCGATAGACACACACAAGCGGGGGTGTGGGTGATTATAGGTTTACACGAATGCCTGGGCCACAAATAACCTTCATTGATCCCTTATCAATATGGGGAGATGGCAGTGGGTTTGTGGCAAAACCGGGAGCACAGAAAAGAAATCCACTCCTTTGGCTTCCCTGGATAATTTAGCAGTTGGGTGATCTGAAGAGTGATTGTTTTTTTCGTCTGTGCGGGGATGTTAGTGCCGTGAGGAGTCCGACTCAGATTACCGCCCCTGCTTTGCCCTGGGGGACCCTGCGGGAGCGAGAGGGGGGGGGGGGGTCCCTGCACACCCTCTGTCCTCATTAGCGAAGACAAGCCTCTCGCCAGCGAATCGATGGAGGTGCCCTGGATGGCAGGGCGAGTCTTGCCGTGTGATGGGGTCGCCGTACGTCTGTGTATGGACGCGCTGAATTAAATCTTCCCGACGCAGCGATGTACATGGAGCTGCCTGAAACCTTACAGTGCCCCAGTTTACCACCTTACCACCGTGCTATTTAGTGTTTAATTAATGTAGTGCGATAGACCCATAATTATGATTAAAATCATACCAAGGGGGCTGCTGGGCTCCTAGTTCTCTGTGTTATTATTCTAATAACTGGTACCTAAATATTGACAGGACATTCCCGTTATTGCGACCCGCGGTACCGTAAAAGCAGGCTGCAGACTGTGCTATTAGCGGCCTGGCAGAGGATGGGGGCTTCCGAGGAGGACACAGAAGGAAGGATAAAGATGAGGCCCAACATACGGCACAAGACACGCTGCCAGAGTTTGGGCTGGTACGGAATTCTGCGGTCTCTGGGCCAAGCAGGTGGACAGACTGGTAGCTGACCTGAAGAGTGGCGGGGAGGGTGTGGAGGGGTACTGACTGGCTAGTGACGGGGGGAGGGGGGGCACGGGCTGAGGTCTTACGGCCCACCCGCCACCTCGTTTGGCCACATCCGATGTCACACCGTGCCATGTTAGCCCCCCTCTCTGCCGCCAGGAAAGGCGTTTAATGAGTCCTGTC